AATTAGAAAAGAAGAGAAAGACACCCTAAATAGAATGACATATAATATGTCAACTTTTGACGTTTTCGCTTTAAAAAAATGCGAATTTTAAATCTCAATCTAGAGTGCCATGGCTGTGTTAAAAACACTAATTTTTAATCAAAAGCCTTGGAAAAATAAATTTGATCGTCTAATGATTTTCGTCTCTTGTCCTGGCCGGTTAAAAGATGCCATAATAGTATTTTTAATCATATCTCATTTTTTTCGGAACGTAAGAGGGTGTCTCATTAGCATATTTGAAAAAAGCATTTTTACAGGAATAATTATTTGGTACCACACACTTGGCATTTCGAGTCAAATTGTCGTTACATTTATGACACTTTTTAAAATGCAATTTTTTTTAACTGAAAATGTCAAAAGTTGACATTTGCTATGCCATTCTATTCAGAATATAATTTTCACTTTTGATACCACTAGAGGTCAAATTATTTCCGGAAATTTTTTCGAGCTAATGAATATTTTGAAAATTATATAAAATATAATTTTACAAAAATATTCTTGAGCGAAAAAACATTTCCGGATTTAATTTGACCTCGTGCGGTATTCGGTAAGAAAAGTCCACACCAAATTGTGTTTGAAAATCAAATAATTAAAATGTATTTTTCGATTTTTGGTCGACTTGATTATTTAGTTACTATGGTAACTAAGTGACACCCAAACCTAAAAACTATTTCAGTTTTGAAGCTGTCATGCAAAATATGCGTGAAATTGTCTGATGTAATGATCAATCATCGTGCGATGACTTATTTACCCGCATTAATAGAGGATTGTGGCTCCTACTTAATGAACGAAAATTTGTTTCGAATTGTTCACGAATATGTGCCTGTCTGTGTTCTCTTGAATGTCTAAACTATTCAAAATTCAAAGTACTAAATGGAAAAAAGGAGAATAAAATAGTGTCTAAATATTAAATATATTTCATTGGACATAGACATAGACATTTAATTCAGTCCATTCATTTTCGCCATTAAGAAGAAAGGAGGTATACAAAGAATATAGAAAATATCTCAGCTTTGTAATTGAAATGTATCAAAATTATCATGTTAATAAATAAAAACCAGACTCTCAAAAAGATATTCTGTCATTATGAACGTCAAAAAATTTCCAGTATAAAGCTTGATTTTCATGCATCCGTTGTCCGACAATACGTTGATACGATATTAATTTTATTGGTTGAATTTAAAGGCTTCGATTGCTTAGAAACGGTTAACCAATTGAAGCCTTTAAATTCAACCAATAAAATTAATATCGTATCATCGTATAGTCGGAAAACGGATGCATGAAAATCAAGCTTAATTCGCTGTTGGGTTGTGATAGGCATCATTTCCTTGTAGGCACAAGGAATGTTCACTAAAATTTATCCGTTGCCATGGTGATTTGTCAAAAAAACACGTTTTGATTGGTTGTAGTAAGTGATCCAACACACTTATTGAATACGTGAATCAATTCTAATTTATTTCATATATATGTATATTTCATATACATACCAAATCTCGTTTTTTATCTGAAGAAATAAAAAAGCTATATGGGTGAGCCACTTTTGAGGTTCATTCTGTATTTTTATGAATTGAGTGAAAATCTCAGACACAAAACAGCCGTTTTGTATAGTAAAAACCTACACAATCTAAATCAAATAGAATAATTTAAATTATATTTATATAACTCTAGTTCCAATGAACCTTTAAACTTAATTTTGAGTTATTATTCGAGAATAACAAATTAGGAATAAAGATTTTAAGAGTTAATTATATTTGAATTAATTACAGAAAGATTCCAAAGCCTAAATCAAACTTTCTATTTTAGGCAGCATTTGTGGCAAGTCAGCATTTGAAGCAAAACAGTGACAGTTCGAGTCCCTCGGGTAAAATGGTAAAGAGGGAGTGCCTTCACAAACGCTATACTCTGAATCATCTCTTTCTTATTATTAGGATTAATTTAATTTCTCTGAATAAAATTAATCTAAATTTATAAACTCGTAGGTTGAGGTTCAGTCAAAGTTCAGTCGAGGATGGTGATAAATTAGAAACAGCAAAATTAATGTAGGCATTTAAAAAGTCATTTCACCCAAAAGTTTGTAACTCGCATTATGAGTCGTGTTTGCAGCGACTGATATATTTGAAAGAGTATATCTGTGAGTTTAATTAAAACTTTACTTGGTTAAAAATACAAAAATGCATATACCTACCCAAATAATTCAATGCTCTCAGATTTATACAGGGGGGGTCTTAAATAAGTACAAATATTTTTAGGGATGACATATTTCGACCCAAGAAACACGTATGTAGAATGTTTAGGAGGGAATAAATCACTACGACCTTACATATATTGTGTTCCCCTTTCTTGAGTTATGACGAGCTATAACTCATCACACAGTGTCAGGGCTTTACGTTCTGCTTTCCAAGTGGTAACCAACTCAAGGCGGAACTCAAGAACTTGGAAGATTCCATCCGCAACCTGGAATGGAATTCTTGCAATGGTCTAAGACACTCGAAGAAGTTTCTGAGGGCTTATGATCAAGAAAAATCACAGATCTTCCTGGGTCTGAGTAAGAACAATCTTCGGATTGTCACGGGGTTTTTAACAGGACACTGTCTCCTCAATGAACACCTCAGTAGATTGAAACTAAGAAGAAACGGCGAATGCAGATTCTGTGGGGAAGATGGTGAAACACCAGTACACCTCATCACTGGAGGTGCGCCGAGACGACAACCATTCGTGCCATGAATTTTGGTACGACTGATATTGGACATGGAGAACTACCCTCTATAAAACCGTCCCAGATACTGGCTTTTGTCAAAGCCCTGGGACTGTATGATGAGTTATGATTCAAGAAAGGGGGACACAATGGATCTGTAAGGTCGAAGTGATTAACCCCCCTCCCACTCATTCTAAATTCATTCATTCTAGTCAGGGCTTTAACAAAAGCCAGTATCTGAGACGGCTCTACAGAGGCCAGCTCTCCATCCTCGACATCAGCCGTACCAAAGTTTATGGCAAGTATGGTTTTTGTCTTGGCGCACTCAGTGATAAGGTGTTCTGGTATTTCCCCATTTTCCCCACAGAATCTGCATTTGCCATTGTCTCTCAACGTTAGCCTATTGTATAGTTCGTTGAGGAGACAGTGTCCTGTTAGAAACCCCGTGACAATCCAAAAAAGATTGTTTTTACAAATTAAGGAAAATCTTTGATCTTTTTCAGTCGTAAGTTCTGAAGAACTTTTTCGAGTGTCTTAGACCGTTGGAGGACACCCATTCCAGGTTACGGATGGAGTTTTCCGGGTTCTTCAGTTCCGCTTTCAGTTGGTTCCCGCTTGGAAAACAGAACGGTTCTGGTCCAGTTAGTGGAGTGGTCGCTTCTTTTCTAACTAGATCATTTGCTTTTTCATTGCTTTCTCTCCCTTAGTGAGCAGGCACTAAGAGTAGGAGGACTTTATTTTCTTTGCCTAATTTGTTGAGCTTCTCTAGGCATTCTTTACCCAACCTTGAATTGATGGTTACTAAATTCGCGTTTAGTGCTGCTTGACTATCGGTATATAATATAAATAAGATGGTTATTTCCTATTTTCGGTAGTTCATATCTAAGATAAATAATTGTACGCATCTTTTGATAGCGAGATTTCTGCCTGAAGGATATTGGGGTAGGTGCGATGTTTCGCGAATATTAAAAAAAATCAGGGAGACAAACGAGGTTACAAACCGGCCTGGAAGAGGTAGAAAGAGAGTAACTACTGCTGTGCAAGACCGTCAAATATCCCTAATTGCACGACGCAATCCCCTGCTTTCTAGTACTGCTATTAAAATGAGTTAGCTCGCCTTGAAGGAGTAAATGTTTCAAGAAAGACCATAGCAAGAAGATTCCATGACAGAGGATTACATTCAAGGAGGCCTCTATGTGTTCCTAAGCTTAATTTACAGCACACAATTACGCGACTACAATGGGCTAGGAGATGAGAGTAAATGGACCTAATTGGAATTTCGTCATGTTTAGTGATGAAACAAGAATAGGCCTAATGTCATTCGCGACGAACTTTGATCTGGAGAGTATCTGGAAGACGAGCACGCTTAAATGCAGCTCAACCCCGTGTCTCGTTTCAAGGGGGAAGCATTATGGTATATATGGGCAGGTATAATGCACGGAGCTTGAACTCCTCTTGTTTTTATTGATGGCACAAAGACAGGTGTCTCATATCTTAGAGACGTTTTAGAGCCTATTGTGCGTCCATTTTGGAGGGGCAGTGGGGGATGAATTTGTTTACATGGACGTTAATGCTCCTCCGCATCGTACTTTAGCGGTTCGCCAATTTTGTGAGGAAGGGGGTATAAGAAAACTGTGGTGAAACCGATGTCTCCAGATATGAATGTGATCGAGCATGCTTGGGACATGCTAAAGCGCCATATTGCCAAAAGGAATGACCTTCCCCCTTACTTTAAATAAATTGAAAATTGCTGCGCGCGAAACATGGGAAGCCATTCCTCAACATCTTCAGGACAAATTAATTGAGAGCATGCCACGTCCTCTCACAGCTTGCATTGAGGCTCGAGGAGGCAATACAGACTATTAGTTGTGAGAAATAATTAAAATTGTTTTCAATATTTTCTGTTTAAAATGAAATTTGTTTTTGTTGATTTTCCAAGCCAAGCCAATATGTCAAATATGTATATAAAAAGAATCATATTAGGTCCAAAATAAAATAAAAATATCGTTATATTATGCAATAATTTTGGCCATGAGTGTATTTGCACTTATTTAAGACTCACCCTGTATAGTAAAATATTTCTTCAAGTGGCGAAATACCTTGAGCACTTTTTTTGAAAAAACAAAATATTTGACAGCATAAATATAATGTATAGAGTGTTTGAAAAAATATAAGCAGCGATAAAAACACGGCAGGACAGTTGGCGCACATGAACGAAGGAAGGGCACATTGATGTGGAACGAGATGAAAAGGTGCAATGACATACCGTACTCCTCGCTTTGCGTACCTTAGACGACCCTATCTCCCTGGTACTGATGCCCATTTTCTTGTGCTGTCGCAACTGTACCGGGTAGATAATCTGATAGTAGTGAGAGTCCATGTTGCGCACCATCTCTTGGTTTTGCGTATACTCGCGCAGAAGTCTTGCTACTTCATCTGAAACAACAAAGAATAAAGTTTGAGAAGATCATAATTAACATTTGTTTATGAAGAATGGGCGATAAAGATCTTTTTAAAAATTTGTAATTGTCGCTTTATTTGAAAAGCATCTTTGCAATATTAATATTACATTTTAAAACAACTCAGAAATAGTACATTGAGAATTGTTAAATACAAAAAAAATACATTGAGAATTGTTAAATACAAGATTATAAAGAAAATTAAAATTAATATACAAATGCTTTGGGGCATACCATAAATATGAGCCTAATAAACGTTATTTAAAATAAAAGTTACAACCTCTCACAGTAAATTTGAAATAAATATATGAAAAAAACTAAAGAGGATAGCATTGCATAATAGCATAATTTCAAAAACTGATATGAGATCATAGCATAACTGGTATGTTCTCACTTTGAGTGCGCCATCTCTCAGTGATACGGAGTCCACTTTGTCCGGTGCTAAAGCTCAGTTGTTGGTAGAACATGTTTCTAAAAGGTACTTACAATGGCAAATTGAATCCTATTTATATTAATAATCTGTCAATATATGTCAAACAATTTCAGCTATAAATGCATTGTCATGGTGTCCTGTTAAAATAGCGAAGAGTCAAGGTCAAACGTTATGGTGACTTCAGAAAAATAGGTAAACATGAAGCATGAATAATTATCCATTAATTTGTAATGGAGTGATATCTAATACCACTATATTAAACTGATATAAAAAATCAAAAACAGTGCGTTTAGAAAACTCTTACCGATGGTAGATTAAATTGGCTATTCATCTAAGGTTACACAAGAATATTTAGTTAATCATTGTCTAACATTATTAATTATATTATAATAAAAAAATATATTTCCAAGACCTAAAATCGTAAAGGGCAATACGCCGTGACTAACTGTTCTGGCGGTCCGCTAAACTATTTAAAAAATCGTCTAATTATTTCTTATTTTGGAATGGATTTATATTAAATCATGTTAAAAGTATCCTTTATTAAACATCGGGTCAATCAATAATTTTCCCAATCAGCTCGATATATTGATGATGTTGCCAGTATTACTCATCAAGCAATACTACTGTTATATCAATCAATTAAGGCCGCGTAAACAAACATAACAAATAAAATTTTATATACTAATTCCATTATAATAAAATTAAATAATAAACATATTATAATTATATTCCTGCAGATTGTATGAAAAGTTATGTTCTTAAATATCTTCTCTACATGTTATAAACGCGTGTTCAAATATTAATTTTGTGGAATATATATCAACATAAAACGGGATGTAATTAACGAAATATCATCGTAAAAACAGTTATTTTAAAAACGTCTAGGTTTGCTTATTTCACTAAGATTTATGAAAAAAATCCTTTGCCTCGGGTACAGATACCGCCACGTTTTGGAAATAGTTCCAATCGAAACAAAATTGAACGAGGTAACAGGAAAAGCAAAAAAAAAATCCCTCACGCTCTCCTCACGAATAGTTTTCAGGCGCTTTTAAGAATCGAAAGTAGATCGAGGCAAACCGAAGTGGGTCAAGAAAACTGGAAATAAATCGAAATGCGACAAAATGCGACCTGTTTCGAAGAGTTCTTCGCATAGTATAGGGGCTGTTTCATATTCAGCTATGAACAGAATACTTTTAGGTCTATGAAAACCTAAAACCTACAGAATATGTTGGTTTTTACGGAAAATTAACTGGTTTTTAACAAGCTCCGTGGCCATAGCAAATACTACTGGCATCTGTTGAGCGCAGAGTAAATCGTTCCCCGTACAACTTTTATGACTACGGATATACGGTAAATCGGAGCGTTTTACGCTCTCCCGAACGCGGCAAATTGGAATCCGCGTTTGATGAACGGCGCCCACTAAAAGCCGAAACGAGTGGCGCGCTTTGGCCCAAACTGATTCTGATTTGCAAGAAAACCGCATAACTGTCCGGTGGGCGCGAGCGGAGCGGTTCAATCGCCGAGGCCGATTCGAATTTATTTCGGTCGCCGTAATCCGCCAGGGAGAAAAATCGGTTTGCGGCGTGCGCTAATGAAATTGGAAAAGTTTCTCTTTTCGCTTTATTGCTCTGCCACTGAAGTGACGCTTTGAAATGCGGGTATTTTTTTTAACCATAAGTCTGTGCAGATTGCAGTCGCTTTGTCTATGATTAAGCTGCTTTATTAATTACTTAAAATCGTAAAACTGCAGGGCAATACGCAGTGACTAACTGTTCTGGCGGTCCGTCTTTTATAGGTTATAATCCACGGTGTTAAACTATTTAAAAAATGGTCTTATTCTTATTTTTGAATACTAATACTAATTTTATATTTTTGTATTTTGTTCAAAAATGGTTCATAAAAATTATTTACAATAAAAAGAAAACTTTCTCTTCAAACTTTCTCTTTAAGCAGGCGCATCTACTGGATATACGTCAACTATACTGCCTAGATGTTTTAAAATTCATTTATCAGGGGAAAATATCTATTGAACATGTTGACCATGAATATGAAACTAGACATAAGGCGTTTTATCCTAGTTTATGCTCTAAAACTGTTGGACAAAGATCTTCAAAGTTTTTTGCACCTCGATTATATAACATCTTACCAACCTTCCTAAAGGAAGTTAAAAGTTACTCTGGGTTTAAAAAAGGGGTATGCAAATGGATGGTTGATCGAGGTAGAGATATATTTAATGACCTAATTAACTTAAAATATACAAAATAAATTTTCATAAGTGCCATTGAACATTATATATTGTCATAATTAAATTGTATTCCCTTCCACATACAAGTAATTCTATTACTTTTTGGCAATTTTTTTTAACGTTTATTTCGATTCTTAAAATTTAAATTTAGTTTTAGTTAAATTGTACTTAGATAATGTGTATTAGATATATTAGCATACTATGTTGTATTGTACTGTACTATTTTGTATCTGTTTTAATTTCAAGAGAAAATGTTTATTATTATTAATGGATTTATATCAAACCATGTTATTATTATATATAAAAGTATCTTTTATTAAACATCGGGCCAATCAAAAATTTTTCCAATTAGCTTGATATATTGATGATGTTGCCAGTATTACTCATCAAGCAATTTTACTGTTATATTAATCAATTAAGGCCGCGTAAACAAACAACAAATACAATTTTATATACTAACTAGCGTGTACCAGCGACTTCGTTCGCGTCGAATTAATCATTTGTAATGGTGATGATAAAGCAAAGCAAGAATTTCCATTAACATACAAACTGGATAAAATTTTCTCACATTTATGTCAGCATGAGAAAAAACAATATGGCGATATTATTATATAACTTGGTAATATTTGAGGGGTAGTTTCATCTCGTTGAAATTTGACTTTCGAAAAATCCGTTTGCCAAAAATAAGCTTTTTACGTCAAGCAGTTTAAGCAGAATCGTGGTTAAGAAATTACCCAACTTTTTGGAACACCCTGTATGATTTTTTAAAAAATTTCAAAATATGTAAAAAACCAAATAAATTATGCTTGCCCAAGCGTTTTCCCGAAGAACTAACCGTTTTTTAAATAACAAATTTTGTAATATTTGAGGGGCGTTTTCACTCTCTGGGAATTAAAGATTCGAGAAACCCCTCCTTATCGAACCTCTACATCCCACAGTCAATCCGTTTGCCAAAAATCAGCTTTAAACGTCAAGCAGTTTAAGCAGAATCGTGATTACTCAATGGTTATATTTTATGAAACACCCTGTATAAATTTATAAAAAATCTTAAAATATGTAAAACAACAAAATAAAATATACGTGTTTAAGAGTTTTTCCGAAAAACTCACCGGTTTTTAAATGAAAAATATTTTAATATTTGAGGGATAGTTTCACCCCCTTAGAATTCGAGTTTCGAAAAATTCCTTCTTATCGAACCTCTACACCCTAAAGTCAATCCGTTTTCCAAAATCAGCTTTTACGTCAAGCGCTTTAAGCAGGATCGTGATTAATCAATGACCAGATTTTTCGAAACACCCTGTATACATTTTTAAAAAATCTTAAAATATGTAAAAAAACAAAATAAAATATACGTGTTTAAGCGTTTTTTTCGGAAACTTGACCGTTTGTTAAATAAAAAATATTGTAATATTTGAGGGGTGGTTTCACCCTTTTGGAACTGGAATTTCGAAATATCCCTTCTTATCGAACCTCTACACCCTAGAATCAACCTGTATACCAAAATTGAGCTTCTTACGTTGAGTGGTTTGAACAGGATCGTGATTAATCAGTATGTCAGTCACTTAAGGATTTTATATATTAGTATAGATTCCATTATAATAAAATTAAGTAATAGACATATTATAATTATATTCCTGCAGATTGAATGAAAAGTTTTGTTTTGAAATATCTACTCTACATATTATAAACGCGTGTTCATATATTAATTTTGTGGAATATATTAACATAAAACGATATGTATTTAACGAAATATTATCGTAACAACAGCTATTTTAGAAACGTCTAGATTTACTCATTTTACTGAGATTTATGAAAAAAGTCCTTTGCCTCGGGTACAGATACCGCCACGTGTTGGAAATAGCTCAAAACGAAACAAAATTGAAAGAGGCAACAGAAAACGCCAAAAAATATCATTATAAAAATTTATAATTGGTTTGGTTTGATTCCACAAAATTTGTAGGCTATTAAAGAAACAGAAAATGTAAAGATTACAGAAATAATTTGATGAAAATAACTTTTATATTAAAACAGCATCATGTTGCACTTTTTCAAACATGTTCTTTAAATCCTTCAATTTAATAGCTGTTAGTAAGAAGTTTCAAGTCACAATTTTTAAGCGAAGCAAAACCTGCTATATCCAAAAATTACCTCAAAAGCAAATTTACCTTGGCAGTATCACAAACATTGTATCTGCGGAATTAGTATTGCACGAGAGGATACGTGTTTGGTAAAATACATAAAAAGCATACATTACCGCATACAAATGTTGTGCTTAAATGAAAAGTAGAACTCGTAAAAC